GTTTCTGGTGGTTAGGAATTGCAGATAAACCTCTTGCCTTTTACTAAAGATTTCTGTGGCCAGGTGTCAATTTTTTTAACCCTTGGCAGTCATATAATTGAAAATTAACAATGGATTTTGTCGCATTTTGAAACCCTAGGAATGTTGATTTCCTTCAAAACTCTCAATTTTATGCCTGAAATAGTTTGATTATGATTTAGGCTTTCTGATTTTCAAAAAAAAAAAAAAAAAGATTAATTTCCCATTAATGGGGGAAATATTTGTTTAGAACAAGAAAAAAATGCAAAATTTTCACTATTTTTTCATATTTTACCCACTGAAAAAAATTTTGAGTCATTTACACCAGCTAATTTTACTTTTAAATGAAAGAATATATCTTTTGCTTTCAGAAAATACCTAGTTTCATGGGGTTCAGATCAAAAGTTTCCTTGATATTCGTTTAGGTGATGATAAAACAGTCATTTTTCAATATTTTACCCCTAAAAAAGTATGAAAACCCATATTTTGAGAGAAAATAAGCTGTGACAAAATGACTTTTGCTATTTTTGTGATGATTTTCACTTGGGAAAGAAAATTTTTACCATAGGAAACCTGAATTGACTTTATTTAAGTTCAGTGGGTCTGTAGGAAACCTCAAACAGCTGTGACATATATATATATATATATATATATATATATATATATATATATATATATATATACACACACACATTTTATATAATGTGCTACTAAAGAAAAGCGATACCTAAGGTTAAAATGAATTTTTAAAAATGGAAAAATAATTCTTGAAGCTTTTGTTTTAGTTTTAATTTCAAGCTAATAGATTAAATTTAATATTACCAATAAGCAAAATATTTTGCTGTATTTCAAAACTAATCTAAATTGATTGGAAGGAGTGTTTCTTTTTTTCTTTGATATTGCTAAATATTTCTGGGTTTAACTATTTCTAGACATCTGTTAGCACAATGTAATTTTCTTTATTAAAATATCTTTCAAAAATAAAAAAACTTTTCTGAATCTTTGAGAAATTAGTGGATTTAAAGTTTAACTAATCTGATTTGAAAAATTTTACTTTTCATTTAAAATATCCTAGAAATGCATTTTTTTTACATGTGTTTTTATAAGGTGTTCAAAGCTTTATTGACAGCCTGACATCTTTATTGACAACAAAAATTTAAATTTAACTAGTTTTTTTTTCCACAGAGGACATATCTGTAAAAATTATTTGATGAATATAACATGAGAACCCTTTTTTATATAAATTTTTAACTACCCAGTAAAAATTTTAGGAAAATCTTATTTGTAATCTAATGTTTTATTAAAGTTTAGGTACTTTGGATTTAAATTTACTATAGTTATGATTTATTTTCTGATAATGTCATATATGGATATCCATATTTATAAGAATTGGTACATTTATACAAACAAATAAATTTAAAGTTCTTTTTAAATACTGGGGAAAGGGGAGGGAAATTGCTGAATTGTAGTAAGCTTTTTTTTTCTTAATACAATAGTGTCAATAATATATCTTATTCATAAGAGCAATTAAAAGCTTTTCTAATTAAATAATGTCTTAGCTTTATTACATTTTTTATTTTACAATTCAGCAGATTTTCAATAACTAGGATTCCTATTTTAGAATAAAAAATTGATTTAAATTCTGCAAGGAATTCTGCTTATAGATCTTATAAATATTAGTTTATATAAAAAAAGAATTTCTCAAAATTTTATAAATTTCATGTTTGGTTGGGGAGTGATATGTAAAAAAAAAAAAAATAAATTAATAAAAATGTTACAAAATTTTCTAAAAGAGAAGCATTTCTAAAATAACTGAATTCATCTGTGAGTAGGCCTTAAAAGTTTAATTAAAATCTAACAATTATTTTGAATTTTTAAATCAGTGTTTTTCACTGCAAAAAGAAGCTAAAATTTCCTAAACAAATTTATGGTCATCTAATGATGCAAAAAAAAAAAAAAAAAAAAAAAAAAAGAAAATTTTTAACATTCTAAAATGGATCAAATAAATATAATTTAATAATTTCCTGATAATAATAATAATAATAAAGATTTTGTTTTTATTAATTTTGGAGAATTTTTTCATCATGTATGCTCAATTTTTTTAGCAAATTTTTGGAATTTATAAATTATATGAAATGGATTAAATGTAAGAAATATTTTAATATATTTTCTGTATATGTTGTTTTTTTTATGGATACACTTATTTGAATGCTCTTTTTTTTTTAAACATTATTTGCTAACCAGAAGTTCTCCCTGGCTGAAAAGTCATAGCACATCAGACTTAATAATGTTTCTTCAGAGGTCACAGGTTCAATTACTGTTGTGAGATGCATATTGTTTTACAAAATTTCTCCAACATTCAGGCTGTTTAATTAAAAAACAGAATTTATTTAAATAAATGTAAAATGTATCCTTAAAAATGTATAAACAGAAAATAAATTATATATATATATATATATATATATATATATATATATATATATATATATACACACACACAATTTATTTGAAAATTATAGCATAAGTTTTAAAATCACTACAAAAATAACCATTTTGTTTCAACACTTCTGGTGTCTTATCAAGTGATAGTGCTGAATGTAGAATAAAGGATTTTGAAAGGTCCAAATCAACCAAACACACCTCACTAGTGGAAACACTCTTACATAAGCTGCAATGACCAATCAAAATACAAGTACATGAGAATTCAAAAAACTTGAGAACGAACCTTGCTTATAATTAATGCCTTAATATTAGGGTTAGTCTAAAATAGAAATCATTCTAATATCAAATTTTACTATAAAACTGAAAATTAAAAATTACCAATTTTAAGTTTAATCAGTATTAAAGTTTAAAATATAAAATTATTTAAAGTAGGAACTAAGGAAAAAATACATATAATGGCCTTATTTGGCCTTTCAATTTAAACAAAATAAATAGCAAAATATATGTATTTTTCCATATTTCTTCTTTAAATAATTTTATATTTTAAACTTAATACAGATTAAATTTAAAATTGGTAATCAAGCTGTCCAAAATTAAAACACTAAACAGCCCTTTTGAAAATATTTTGGAAATTGAAAGAAAGAGGTTTGAATCTTCAAATAATTTGGAAAATTCTAGGTTTCACAAACACCCCCAATAGTTTTAGGGATAGGTGCAAGCTATGTTTAGAAGAAAAAAATCAGGATAAAATATAAAGATCAATGCAAACTATTAAATGAATGGACAGAACTAATCATGAAATATAGACATAAATTCCAAATTACATAAGAATACATGTGCATATATGTGGGGTGTATGTGTACGTATAGTGGCATATATGTATGGACATGTAAATGTACATATATGTATGTATGAAGATATGTACGCATATAAGTGTGTTGGACAGCATAATTTATTCTATTGGGTGCTCTGGTAATACCCACAATTTATAACTCAACTAATTTACATTAATCTTAAGAGGCTTAAGTTTAAATCCCCATCACTTATTAATAATATTAGACACCTGTAGTACAAAACTATTTACTGTGAATTGCAGAAAAACACACTTGGGGCTTTTATAAGAAACACCACATAGTAGGAACTGATATTAAACTACAAACAACAAATCCTGGCCATACATAAACTCCAACCCCAGACCGCTTCCCCCCGGGATAAGATACCTTATGCGCCCACCAATTGCTAACACAAACCCATTCTCATTAACAAGGAGTCTATCAGGAGGACTAGCATTGAAAATAAATTTAAAACAATGCTCTGAGACAGACACTTAGGGGTTGATGATAGCTGTGTACAGAACGGCTTGAAATAGACTATCTTCTATGTTGAGGTAATTTTTTTTGCTGTAAAAAATACATATGCTCAGTTATAATAAATATATCGAGCTCTCTGTGGATCAGTTTTAATAACTATCATTAACTAGGATCCACCTGGATTATATACCAATGGATCAATTACCAGTACTGTGTGTGTGTGTATATATATTATGAAATGGACAAAGTCCGAAGAAATTATTTTAAGACATTTTTATGTTTATACATTCTTTTTATAGATACGAATATTTAAGTAAATGCTCTGTTTATAATAAACAATATTAAACAACATTTACCAGCCTGAATGAAAATTTCTCAGACATTCAGGCCGGTAAATGTTGTTTAATACTGTTTATTATAAACAGAGCATTTACTTAAATATTTGTATCTATAAAAAGAATGTTAAACATAAAAAATATCTTAAAAATATATATATATATATATATATATATATATATATATGTGTGTTTGTGTGTGCACAGTTCCGCAGCCCAGAAACCATGATTAAAGTCTAGTACCTGTTCCGCAGACATGACCAACTAAGACAATCTTTGTGCCTGGTTCCCCTGTAAATGAGGGCTGGGTATATTTTAACCAGTGATCTAATTGTATGTGTTCAGGTTGTCCACATTAAATAACTGACCTTGTGTAACATCCCACCCCAGTGGTTGGGGGCATGGGTAAATACCTATGCATGGTAGAACTTCACCAACTAAAAAATCATTAAGCATTGTGAGTCTTCTATTTTTTGTAATCACTTCACCTTAAGCAAAGCAATAAAGCCACTAAAATGTAAGGGTTTACTGAGTTTGAAAGAATATAAGAAAAAGAAAAACATTAAAGAGAGAGAGGCTAATAAAAGAATAGGAATTAAGAAGATAGCAATTGACATTGCATTTAAATTTTTGAAGATCACAGTTGATTGGAAAGCAAGAGCTGGAAGAGTTCTAATCAGCAAAACTTGTGTGTTTAAAACAGTAAACTAAAACTACCTTTCAAATAAATAAATACATATAACACACACATATACACACGCACACATACTTTACTAATATTTTTTTTTGAAAATATAAAATATTTGCAGTAGAAAGAAGATGAAAGAAATAGTAAGAAAGTTTAATAAGGAAATGATCAGTTTTTGTTTTAATTATGAATTTGATGAAAAAATACCATGCCAAGTTACTTCTGCAGTTTCCTGGCCATCTTTGCCAAATGTGACCCAGGCATGATCTTCAGAAAGTACCAAATGTACATCTTTATAGCCAAGGATTTGGCATGATGCTACAACAGCAAAAGCAACTCCAAAGCAATCAAGTTTATTTCCTGAAAATATAAAAATAAATATATAACAAATAAACCCTGTCACCAACAAAAGAAACAAAACATCTTTATCTTTTTTAATCAAAGTATTTTTTATTAAATTAATGTAAAAAAAACACTTAAATCAATTTTCTATTTTGGGAAAAATATATCACTTTTTGGACCATAATATTACATTTTATACTTTACATTGGAATTTTGGAGATGAGGAATTATCATTATTACATACTTTGCTATACAACAGCCAAAACATTGTAAGTATAGCAATCAAGTTGAGCATGCTGGTTAGAATAGCAAAGGAAAACTAAAACACTGTTTCAGTGGAAGAAACAAAAATGAATAAGCCTGGTGAGTATTAACTGATATGAAATATCTGCTAAGGATGGTTCACTGTTAGTACTGAGAACAATCCCTGAGCATGGTCATGATGAAAAGTTATAATCTGCTTCAATTGAAGAAACTGACAAACACAAAAATGAATAAAACTTGTGAATTAACCAATTAACCTTAAGGATGGAAAACCAAATGAAAATGTTCTATTGCTTTGGATTGAATAAAGGATTCTGTGCAAAATTCTGAGAGTTACTGAGTGCAAAGACAAACATTTAGAAATGGTCAGAGACTATAATAGCCAAAACATTGAAAGTATATTGATCAAGGTAAGGCTGCTCATTTGAATAGCAAAGTATTTAATAATGAATTTGAAATCAGTTTCAAATATTTATTTTGCTACTAGAATAAAGGTAGTTGCAATGGACAAAATAAATAGTTTATTACCACAAACTTAGGGCAGCTATTGTGTAAATACAAACTGAATATTTGAAAGGTCTTCTTTACAATGCAACATCCATAATATAAATGATGTCTATTTGGTGGATGAGATAAAAAAACAAAAAAAAACTGTTTATGAAGGAATAGGTACTTATTTCTGATATGCAATAGAAAGGTAAACATCATCAATATGAGAAGAGAATGAAATCCAAAATCATGGTACTACTACTAATAATAATAATAATAATATCACATCAACTCATTTGAACCTATAAGCAGTGAAGGCCACAAGTTACAGGTTTCATGAAAGGATTAGAAATTGAAATATTACCAGACAAGCCAAGGCCATTTGGACCTAGAGCCTGTGAAGGCCACTGGTCACAGGCTTCCTGAAAAGACAGATGAGCACAATTTGACAGATCATAGAGAGTAGAACTTGGAACATTTACCAGACAAGACATGGCCATTTGGACCTATAGTCAGTGAAGACCACTAGTCACAGGTTTCTTGAAAGGATAGGTGAGCACAATTTACCAAAGATCATAAGGATTAGAACTTGGAATATTACCAAACTAGACATGGCCATTTTGACCTAGAGGCAGTGAAGGATTTGAAGTGTTAACATCTGCTGACAAAGCAGAATGTTTCACTTGAAAATTCTATTTAAATTCTACTCTTGACCCATTTAGAGTATCTTTTTGTAACTTTTTACTTAGAACTGAGTCTCTATTGAGTGATATTTGCATATAACTCCATCCATGGCTTCTATTATCTCTAAACTGATTCTTCACGAAGCATGAGGACATGATGATATTCCTGCAAGTTCTTAAGAAATGTGCTTATGTTTTCTCTAAACTCTAAAATAAATGCCTTGCTGCTTCTTGCTTTTCTGTATGTTAGAAATCCTATTTATGTAGTTCCAGTTTTTAAAAACTCAAGCAAACTGTCTGATCCTTTAACTATCAGCCTTCTACCTCTTTTTGGCAAAGTACTTGAATCTCTAATTAAGTTGGTTAAGCATTGCACTCACAGGTTCTTTCAGATAAGTAATATGGTTTTTGCTCCTCTAGGTCAACTGCTGATGTGTTAATGATTATTGCTGAAAAAGTATCAAGCTTTAAATAACAATGTTACCTTGGATATTTTGAAGGCATTTAACAGGGTTTAGCAAACTGGTCTTCACAAGTTGAAAGGTTATGGCAAAAATGGCTGCTTCCAATATCAAACAAAGCCTTAATTCAGGAGTTTTTATTTGATTCTGACTGATGATGATTTCAAAGAATTTACTCTAATATCAACAGTTAAGTTGTCAGAGATAGAGAAGATAGCCACTCTAGTGACAGGGAGGAAACCCATGATGACTATGAAGTGCTGAGCAGCTACTACCATCCATGGTTAACTAATTTTACGAAACCTATTGGCCCCATGGATTTACCTGATAGCCTTTATAAAGATGAATTATTTCATCTATTCATAAACAATGAAATAATAACTTTATTTGTCAACAAGACAAGTAAATATATTTGAAAGAAAGGAGAGGAGCAAATGCAGGTGTCTACTCATATGTAGACACACTGAAGGACATCACTTTCTAAAAAAAAAAAATGGAGGTTTTGTAGTCATTTTACTTCTTATTGGACTCATGTAATGGTTATCATTTGAATTATACTGATCAACAAATGGATTTATTCAAATGTCAGGTTTCAGATATAGCAGGCCACAAGATAGGATTTTGTTATTTTTTTTGACAATTCAAATGCAAAACCGAGGAACCACTCTGAACATGATAGAGCATTCAAGATCTTGCTATTTTTTAGAAAAACTTGTGCCACTTTGGCAGAAATACTTTTATCCCGAAAAAGAACTTCCAGTGGATGAAAGTATGATTCCTTTCAAAGGAAGAACAAACCTATTAATGTACATGCCAGTAAAACCAACTAAGTGAGGTCTGAAAGCCTGGGGACTAGCAGACACAAAAATCATCTACATCTACAATTGGCAGTTGTACTTGGGCCACCAAACAGCTCAGGTATGAAGATAAGTTGTGTCCTTCCTTTTGGATAATATACAAAACAGGGGACATGTAATTTACATGGAAAATTTTTTTCCATACCCTGCATTGTTTCACCACCTAGCCCAATGGAAACAGAAGCATACAGCACACTATGTGTGAACTGAAAGGGTGTGCTAAATGAAATGAAAGCAGCAAATACCTGAGCAGGCGAGCACCTCATCATGCACAGAGACAGGCACATATTATATACTTGATGAGGACTGCCCACACTGCCAAGACGTTCAGAATATAAGATCAAAACATGAAAGTCATACCAGAATTGTGTACAAGGCTTGTGCGGTGTAGTCCTACTTTCAGCATATGGGTGGAGGAGTAGACTGATCTGACAAGCAGCTAATATAAATGGTGCTGCACTTATGTACCAAGTGGGGGGAAATTTTTTTTTTTTATTATCTGCTTGAACTCTGTTTCTGCAATGCCCTGATCATATGGAAAGCAAAGTCAATTCACCAGGTCAATGCTGAAAAGTTCAGGTTGAAGATTGTTCATTCTCTGCTGGAATGCTACCAGTCAGGTGTGTCCTACAGGAGAGATAGGAGGACCGAAGACCCCCACCCTCAGAAAGGCTGGTGTTAACAACCCCAAGCATCTGAAATGTGGAAGGCCATCTCGCCCAAATTGTTGTGTGTTCAAACAGAGAAGTAGCACCAGACCAATTTTGTATGCAGAAAATGCGATGTGACACTGCCTATACCATTGCTTCCATAGTCTGATAGATTACAAGGTAGACTGTACCCCAGAATTCCACAAGCAGTAATAAATGTTAAAGTATATCAAATTATTAATATATTTGTTTTTTTTTTTATTTTGTGCTTCATTTTTTGTTTTCAATGTCAAAACATGCATGCAAAACAATGTATTACATGACATTACGTCAAAATATTACTCATCCATTCTTTTATTAGTATACAAAAAAAGTCAAATCTATACACACAATACAAAGAAAGTTATAACAATTTTAAAACAGTAGGTGCTCATGTATTTTTGTGCCCTCAAAAAGAATGCAGTGACAGGGGGAACAATTCTAGAAACAATTTGGTGAGGTAAAGGTTAATGCAGGTCTTTGCCAGGGCTTTATCCTTGAACCTATATTGTTGCTAATTTTCCTAAATGAAAATCATGATGTCAATTCAATATCTATGCTGATGGCAACTATTTACTACTGTCTTAACAGTAAGTCTGATTAATTTGATAAGGTCAACTTGGAAGCTGATCTCAAATAGTACCTACAATCTGTTAACTGGGGCAATGAATGGCATAATTTTAATGCTTCCAAAATAAAACTGCTCACTTTTAATCTGAGAAATGTTATGGAAAAATCCCATTGGAAGTCTGAAAGAATTTAATTCTATCAATGCCCCATAGATATAAGGGGAATTAAAAAAAAAAAAAAGAAAAAGAAAAAAAGAAAAAGAAAAAAATTCAATTGGAATAACAAGGAAAAATAATAGGAAAAAAATCCCATTGAAAGTATTAAGTTGTTACATATATTCATTAGTTTTTTTCTGATATTCTGCGAATGATCTCAAAGAATAATCTTTTGCTTAGTCATCCTGTGAAACTGTTGTCTTATTATTATATAGGAATTTGAACACAGATCACCAGAGAGCAAACACTGGTGATCCCATTTTAAACAAGTAGATCACATGATGGTAAAGGAAATGTATATATGCGAATATATGGATTACTATTCAGATCACCATTCAGTGGTTACCAAAACGATGGAAGGAAAAACGTCAGATTCATTCACTCCAAATGTTATTGCTCTTTCAATCAGCAAATTTGTATGCAATCCACATGAAGGGATAACTTTTCCAGCTTATTAGAGAAGATACAAAAGGATCTTCAAAAGGGATTGTTCACATTGGAATGAAAAGAAAGTTCGGTTATTATTAAGGAAATTGTCCCCTGCTGAACATGAAAAATATGTAAATTATATTTTGCCAAAAAAACAGCAATAAATTTTAATGAGACTGTTCTAATACTATCAAAACTTTTTGGTGATAGAAGTTCATTATTTAATACATGATGGAAATGTCTTAACTTAGTAAAGTCTGATGAAGATTTTGTCACTTATGCAGGAGTTGTGAATCGAGAATGTGAAAAGTTCAAGTTAAATGAATTAACTCCTGATTTATTTAAATATCTAATATTGGTACAGGATTTAACTTCTAATAAGGACACAGAAATAAGATCCAGGATACTTGTTAAATTAGAAATGGATCCCAAATTGACTCTCTAGAGAATAGAGGAAGAGTGTCAATGTATTGTGAATTTGAAACTTGATATGGCAAGGATTGAGGAAAAATATAATTCACAGATACAGAGTGTCCGACCATCAAAGAGAAAAAAATGCAAACGTTTTTCAACTCTTAACAGAACAGTAAAAAAAGACTATAACCACTCCCCTCAATACCTAATACTTGCCACGGTTGTGGAGGTAAGCATTTTAAAAGTGATTGCTTCTTCAAGAACAAATGAATGTGGGAGTTTAAGACACAAAAGTACATGTTGCTGATAAAAAAAAAGGGGAAAAAAAAAAAACAAAAAAAAACATAAAACGCGTGTGGTCATGATAAATATATGGAGAACGATAAGAAGCCTAAAAGGGAAATTAACAAAACATCTCAAAAGAGGAAATTTATTTTTGTGCAAATTAGTAATGTCTAAATTAAATTGCAACTAGATACAGGATCTGATATCACTATCATAAATGAACAGAAATAGTGAAAGATGGGTAAACCCAGTTTATTGATGTCTGATAAAGTTGCATATGGAGTCTCGGAAAAGAGATTGAACTTTGTGGGTGAATTCTGCTCTAACGTTTCTTTTGTGGGAAAAACCAAAAAGTGGTGGTGTTTGTATTAAAAAAAATATTGCTAATTTGTTTGGAACAAACTGGATTGCATTGTTTGATCTTTGGGAGCTTCCAATTAACTCTTTTTGCAACAAGATAAAGCAACTGAAAAAGTGTTTTTCAGAAGTTTTCTCAGGTCTAGGGACAGCTTAAATGTGACACAAGGCCAAAAGTATGGGGCACCCAGAGAGGATCAAATTCACTAGTCAGTCATAACTGTTTTAGCGAGACAAGCTTACTAACTATTACACCAATATGACCCAATAAATATGAGGCTGAATTTTAAAAAAAGAAAAAAAAAAGAAAAAAGAATTCAGTTCAATTTTCCATAAACAGGAGAGTGAATAAAAAGAAATTCTGTTCACTTGCCCATAAATATGATAGCAAATTAAAAAAAGAAAGGAGGAATTCAGTTCAATTCCCCATAAATATTAGAGTGAATTAAAAAAAAAGAAAGCAACTTCCATACTGCCCTTGGGGGAACTGAGCTGAATGATGAATGGATTTCAACATAGGATGGAAATTGAAAAGGAGCTGTGGATTGGCAGAAAAATAAAACTGTTCATTTCAAGAGAATTGCCTAGTAAATCTTGTGCTGACCTTGTAAAGGTAATTACAAATAGATAGGAAATTTTTCAATTTTGGTTGATTAAATTATAAAATTTTAAACATGAATGCTAGATTGCAATATATCCAGAGGCTATGCATTTTCAAATAAAACCTTCATTATAAACATAACTTCTACATTTAATTTTGCTTCAGAGCAGATAATTACGGCTCACTGGACCAAAGTGTTGATCAGATTCAATTTCTTTTGTTTAAGACAAAAAGAGTCCCAACAAGTATACAATACACTAAAAGTAGACTTACAATACACAGAAAGACTTAGTTTAACCTGAGTAACATATCAAGAAAAAACAAAACTACACTGTTTTGTTTTTCATATATAAACTTTAATACTGTATACAATTCAATAATCCATGGAAAACCCTCACTGTCAAATATACAAATATTATCATCAATGTATTGGTAATAACACTGAGGATTTTCAATACAAACAAGCAAATCTTGCTCATAAAATCCAACAAAATATTGATTACTGCGGGATTACTCATGGCAATCCCATCCTTTTGTTTGTATATCATATTTAATAGTTTCCCCATATGATGTACATAAAAAGATCGTATAACAAATTTGTTAAAGGTTAAAAAAAATTATGCATTTTCAGTGACTGATTACACTACATACAAGTAAATATATTCTGGATGGGTTAAAATTCATGCAAAAAAATTCAAGGGTCACACTATACATGAAGTCTGGCTATACATGAGTATATACAGTATATACTAACTTGTGGGAGCCAATAATACAAAACTGGACTGCTTCATCAACTGGCCACCATATACTTCATGCTGTAGTTGAGTTAGTTTGATCAAAATGTGCAAAATGTCTGGTGTATGTTCAAAGAACAGAAAAATGTTAAGAGAAAATACAAAGTCTGTTTTCAATATGCAGGATTCTTTATTTACCTAGCATTGTTTGGGCATGTAGGTAAGTAAGAGACATTTAGGATGTCTTTACTGTTACTTTTATCTTTTCTCAGGTTAAACTAACAGACCAGATCTTCCCTTTGGTCAGTGAGAACAACTGTTAATGTCATTCTGTATGATGCAACCTGGCTATATAAACCCATGACTTGAATTCCTTATTTTCCCCATAAGTGGCACTCAATCTAAAAAAGCTTTTATTTCTTATTCCCTACTTATAGACAGCAAGTGGTTGCTCTGAAACTCTTGCATCTTGATTTTACTGCTGATTGTCATAAAACTGGCAACAAACCAAATCCAGAAAGAGTGTAGTCTACTTTGCTACGTGTATCCTAACTACCAGATGATCACAGCCCATTGTGTCACATTAGTGAAAAAATAAAAAATTAACTTAGTATTTGCAGAAAGGCATGCTGGAGTAATGGATAACAGTTTGAATTGAGAAATCGGAGAGCTGAGTTCAAATTAGAGTTGAATCCATTATATTCACTTATGTGCTAATACCCTTGGGAAAAGTATGAATCCTCTTCTCTCCCCAGCCATGGGTAAATAGCAACTGGTGCACCACAGAAAGAAATGGCAACCTACATTGTCAGTCATGCATTGAAAGATGCGTGTATCACGCACGACACATAACTGACTGATTGATTTGCAGAAAAAAAAAAAAAAAAATTATATACATAGTCTATTTTTTGTTACCCAATGAACTCCAAATCAAAGCTACAGATAAAAGAAAAATTTTCAAAAGGTGAGAAAGAAATATGATTAAGCAACAAAATAAACAAGAATATCCTGCTGTAAAATGACAGTTCATGTTATGAGCTCAATCCACACTGAATGTTATCATTACATTATCATCATGTTGCGGTAATAAACCTAAAAATTTGACATGGCACTTTATTGTATAGGGATAATTAATAAGCCAGTCTCATAGACCAATGTCTTGCCAAACAAATCAAAAAATGTTAAGACTTTGATTAGGTTGCCAGTTGTACATCAATGATTAAAAAGATAGTCACATGAACACATTGGAAACTTTATTATTGAAACTTTGTGCCAGATAAGAACTGTAGAATATTGTTTATGAAGATTATTTCACACACAATACTGTTTCATTAGGTATCCTAAAGTGTACTCTAGTTTACATTGCAAAAACTTGTCAGAATAGTGAAATTTCCTTCAGTT